CAATGCTTTAAAATGTACTTTTCTAAAATATGTGAAACCCTTTTATGAATCAACATGATAATGGCATGTTTGCATAAAATCCCCTGGAACTCAAACAAATGACAAGTACAACAAATATCACACGAACTTTCTTCAAAGTATACCGCAAAGGGAACACAACGACTACTATCTCCAAACCAAACATCTTCTAAAACTTGATACTCCTCGTATGAATCACACTTTTTCAGAAAAGATAATTCATAATAAATCTTCCCCGCAATCTCTTCTTGAAACTCTTTAAACTTTACAGTTATGTATGCACTTTGAATTTGTTTCTCAATAGGGTAATTAGTTATGCATGGTATCCACGATTTGAAAGATCTAAAATCAGCCTCCCTTTCTTTTTCCGCTTTATCTCGCAATGCATTATCATATTGTTCCACAAATTGTTTCAAAGTAGTTTTGGAATTTACATATCCATCAAAAAATGCATGCATACTTTCACTACGTTGGGTAGTAGACATATTTGCCCAGAAAGTATCTTTAAGAAATGCAGGCACCCATCATACTCTTTCTTTGTACAATCCACATAACCATTCATTCTCGTGAAGGTTGTGCACATCAACAAATTGGTTCCACGTTCTTCAAACTCTTCACGTGTAAAGGAATCATACATAATATTTTGTAACTTAAACTTTACAGTTTCATATTTTTATACCCTCTTAACTTTTCAGGCAGTTTCTTCATTATATGCCACAAACACCACCTATGTTTTGTACTAGGGAAAACAATCTCAATTGCATTTTTGCATAGCCTTATCTTGATCAATGATAATTCCATTAGGAGCAATATCCATGCATTCAAGCCAAGAACAAAATAGCCATACAAATGTCTCAATGTCATCATGGGAAATTAACCCACAACCTAACAATATCGAATGTCCATGATGATCAACCCCCACAAAAGCAGCAAATGGCCTATCATACTTATTCGTAAGATACATTGTGTAGAAGATAACAAAATCACCGAATTCTTTATATGCGGCCCTACATCTAGCATCAACCCATAGCACATTCTGTAATCGACTCTCTTTATCTACATCAATCATGTACCAAAAATTTGAATTCTCCTTTTGCATTTTCATAAAATACCCGAGTACTGCCTAAGCATCTCCAACTCCAAGTCATAGCCTTCTCACTTTTTCAATGTATTTCCTACAATCTTTTTGTAGAAACGTCAAATTCTCTACACCTCCTACCTCAACTGAACATGACTAAAATTTTTTGCACAATTTAATCCTAATCACATCATTAACTTTAAGCCTCCTTTTCACATAAGGTTGTATTGTTCGGTTAACCTTGAAATATCTTCTTTTTGTCAGACTTGTAAGATCATGGTTATGTTCAAGTATAACTGATTTAATTTCCCATTTGCATTGACCATTCAAAGCTGCACTAATCTAACTCTTACAATCTGTTTTGGCAACAAGTTGCTTTTTCAAGGTATTTCTGGATTGACATCTCTCCTTCCCATAACAAGAACACGCCACTATCACGTATCTCATCTCCCCATCATCGCCTTTCTTTGACGTACGTATCATTGCTTCAAAACTCATTTTGTTACTATACCGTTTGTAATACTTCACTAGACTATCAACTGAATCAAACACCATTCCAATATGAGGCTCCACTTCTTCCTCCGAACATCCTATATCTTCTAATTCATCATGTTCATTTTCCTGATCATTTAATAGTTTTATAATGGACAAAGTTAGAATGTACTAATACAACACATCATAAGAAACAATACGATACAACAAATTTAAAATCATGTTAACAAAAAAGTTAAGGTTTCGAGCACAATTTACCTCAACATCATTGAAATGAGGCAAACTGGACTCTTCCATATTCCGTAATTTCATGCAAAACCAATACTAGTGTTTGCGTTCATGAATCTGATTCACAACAATCGCCAAAAAATATTCTCTATCAGTTATTTTCTATTGTAAAATATATTCAATCCAAAATATAATACAAAACTAAATAAATGCATAAATTAAACAAATCTTTCTAATCTGAAAAAAATTTATCCCTTTCCACCCTAAACGATTGTTTCATGAAAAATTAGTAGCTTTCTTTCTTGCCATAGTAGCTGCTTGTTGGCTGTTGAGGAAGAAACCGGTTGCGGCTGTTGAGGAAGAAACCGGTTGCGGCTGTTGAGGAAGAAACTGGTACAACACTAAATATAACACGCAGATGCGAAGAAAAGATGGGAACAATGAAGCGAAAGGTAATAGGTTTAAAATGAAGTTATTTTATTTTATTTTTTTTCGTGTAAAAATTTTGGCGCTTATTTTGGAGAAGCTTATTAGACAAGCTAATGGTTTTTACCAATTGAAAAACAAATTATGTAAATTAAAAAAACATTTTATTTGCGTATGGACACCCATCCATATTATATGGACGGGCCTTCATTATTATATTACAAAATGTTTACGAACCAGAAAACTGAATTGAACAACCTTCTTCCTTTCGCGTTTGTGCATCTTCATCTTTCTCCCCTAGCTTTCCCCTGACTTTCTTGGTTGGACCAACCCAACCCGCTCGGAAGGCTTCATCCGGGTAGCTCATCCTTTTTTTTTTTTTTTTTTCCTATTTGGATTACTAAAAAACCAAACTGAAAGCCTGGATGACATGAGAGTGGATGAGGAATAAGAGTTTGAAGAGAAGATATACTATTTTTCTAATAGGGACGTCGTCCATAAATTTTGTTTTATTATTATTTTTATTTAAATTATACGAGCGTCCGTTATATGTGAACACCCGTCATTATTCAGAGACGTCTGTCCATAACATATGAACGAGCATCCTAAATTTGTTTATAATTTTTTTTTTTTTTTAATTTAAAGTTTTGATGGGCGTCCATTAAAGGTGAACACCGTCCGTTCAGTATGACTCCATCCATAATATATGGACGGCGTCCATTACTTTTATTTTAAATATGTTTTTAATTTAAATTAGGATGGATGTCATCTATGTGGGCACCTATTTAGTATGGACCCTCGTCCGTTGAATAGGACGGGAGTCCATGATTTTTGATTTCAAATTTTTTAAATTTAAACTATGCAGGCGTCCATTATAGGTGCACACGTTAGTAAATGGACTCCCGTCTATAGTAATGGACTCGTCTATAAATGGATCTCATCCAATAACAATGAACGGCCATCCATAGTTGATAAACGGTGTTCACTCACAAAATATTGTTAATATGATACATGGCTGGTTTGAGCACGTGACACGTATTCGATGTACAATCTGATGTCTGTAGCATTATGTATACCATTTGGGGTAGAGTGTCCCGGAATGAATCTTGGCATCTCAATAATTGAGCTTGCACTTGCAATTGCTGTATCGTTTTGAGTGGAAATTGCCACAAGGGATGAGAATTGAAGATTTGGATATGGAAGAAAGAGTGGGGTAACAATGCACAAAAAGTTCCTCTTAAGGAATCTGGGAGCTTGTAATGATAAATTAATTGGAATGAGCCATTTTTCTAATTCTTGAATGAGAATTTTACTTGAGTATTATTAATTTTCAATCTTCTGGCGTATATAGTAAAATAAAATTCTTATTGATTAAAATAGTAAGCGGTGATAAGACCTCCTTGAGCTTGAGCTTCAAACCGCTGGAATTATCAATAAAGACTTAGCTGCAACTTTATTATAATACGTACAGTATACATTGTAGGCGGCACCTAGGTTTTGTTTGGTCGCATTTTGGGAATACTACTTTTAGTATTCCAAAAAAAGTTAAACAGTAAAATACCTAAAAACTCTGGTTTTTGAGAATACTACTCTCAATATTATTCAACTTTTTTTAAACCCTCTAAATTTTTTAATTTAATTAGATACCCCTAAATATTTTTTTTAAAATTGTAAAAACACCCAAACAATCCACATTTACTAGATTCTGGCCACCACCGCCAGAAAATGGTCGGAATCTGGTAGGATGGCGCACTACCGGCTGCACCGATCTAGCCTTTTCTGGCCAGATCCACGGTTGATCTAGCCGAAAAAAGCCAGATCTTTGGCCCTAACCAGTCGGTAACGACAGCCAACAAATAGTCGTCGTTGACCATAAACGACGACCATTTGTTGGCTGTCGTTGACGAGCAAATACGGCCAGATCTGGCCGTCAATGGCCAAATCTAGCCGTAGATCTGACCTTTGCCAGCCATATCGGCACACGAACGGCAAGATCCAACCGGTCATGCGTCGATACTACAAATCCGTCCACCCTCCGGTGGTGGTGGTCGGCTGTCCGTATTTGAGGGTGGGTTTGGGGTGTTTTTGTTAACTTTTAATGTTTTATTATAGGGGGTGTTTTGTAAATAAACAAACATAGGGGTTATTTTATAATTTATAAATCCTACATTGTAATACCTCCCAATTCAATTTTTTTTTAACTTTTTTTAAAAAACTTTTCCCAAAAGCACAAAATTGTGAACCAAACGAAGCCCTAGTCATTCCATTATCCAGTGGGGTTCTGGTTCTGGAATATGATCCTTTCATGATAAAGTTGTAAAAGGAGGAAGAAAATGACAGCCACAATAAAATCTATTAATAATTGATAATTTAATCAAAGATTCTTTTCATTGATTCCAATCAATTTTGACGTCTGTCTAAATTTTCATTAAAAGAAACGAAATTGACCACGTCCAAACTCTATATTCCTCGCCAATGTTAATTATCTTTTTATGTTCTAACAATTATTTTTCATACTATTTCGACCCAATAAAAGTCTTGGAATCTAAGGTTAAAAGGATTATTTACAATTTTCTGAAAATCATTATCTAAGAAAGTAATAAAACCATATATTATATAAATAATTAAATACTTTATTATAAGACATGATAGCTTAATACATAAATTATGGGCCAAAGGAAGGAGAAGACTAGAAGAGACAACTGGATTACGGGTGTCAGTTTCGCGTGGACAAAGACAGAAACACTCAAAAATCAAAATTATGGATTATGCAAATCAAACGAAACTTCCTCGAAACAGCCTACACCGGTTACTTTTACCTACTTTTTAATATATCACGACACCACTTTGACATGGCTATTTCCGCCCATTGACACCCACTCTCAACTCTTTACCCTTGTTGCAGAACCTTACAAAATTTCACTAAGGTATGTCTATCTCAACTTATATTTATCTACAATACACTTAGATTTTCCCTTTCCGTTTCCTCTGTTTTAACAAGTGTGTTTATTTCAACTTTCATTGCTTTTTCTTTTTTCTTTTTTTATTATTATTATTTTTTTGTTGGAAATGCCGAAATGGTGGTGAAGATCTGAACTCATGAGAAGCTTAGTTGGGTATTCAATATTCTTGTTGAATTTGGAGTTAAACATCATGGGTATTATCGAAGTTAGAGGAAATGCATTGTTAGGTTATGTAAGGACTAAGTAACCAAAATTTTATCTACTGTTATTTGCAGTAACTGCTCGATGACCAAACTTTGCAAAGCTTTGATTAAATGTACAAACTTTTTGGAGTTTATATTGCGTAAATTGTGGCATTAAGATGCTGTATCGTTATTATACATAGCTGATTTCGCTTCTAATGGTCTCGTTTCTTGTCTTTAATTTCTTGCAATGTCTAAATCCAATTGTCATTTTTTTTCCTTCGTGTCCCCACATTTTGACTAACTGTAAATTAAAAAGTTTTCTGAACCTTGAATTTTCGATGAGGGAGCAATGCATTTTAATATTAAAAAACGACATTTATATTGATATAAGATGATTAAGTAGTTTTCAATTACTTTTGTTGTCATTAAATTATGTGGTAGATTGCGTCGTTGAGATTTTCATTTCTGTTCGGCTTGTGTTTTCATGGTGTTGAATCTGCTTCAAAAGGTCCTTTCAGATAATCTCTCTTAATTATGTTTACATTTGCTTGATATTTCAGAATATCTGTCAGTCAAAGAGTTGATGGGTGGGATACTTTCAAAACGAACAAGTTCTCGACAGTCTTCTTTCGGATCTAGTTCACATTCATGGAGTCATCACAACTATCCACCACCACCATATGCTCAACCGTATGCTCAACCAAACCAAGATTATGTGCCGCAGCAGCATTATGCGCCCCCTCAAAACAACTATGGTCAGGCCTCTGAGTCAAAAAGGAAATTGGAGAGGAAATATTCAAAGATAAATGATGATTACAATAGCCTTGAGCAGGTTAGATAATATTCTTTGTTTCTTGGCATATCTAAATTTGTATTTGCTAGATATGAACAATATAGGCTATTTCCATTCAGAGTGCACATAATACTCATTCTGGGAAGTGTTCTAAGGATCCATTTTTTTAGAAGTTGAATTTGTCCCACATTGCCCCAATAGTGGGCTGTTATGGTATATATAAATGATTGGGCTCCCTCCTTCTTGGAGCTAGCTTTTGGGAGTGAGTTCTACCCAAACCCACTTTATCATGGTATCAGAGCCACGTTTGTTTCTCTCCCCTCTTTGGTTGGGGCGATGATGGGTTTAGACCCCGGCCTTGCACGCCGAGCGTGAGGGAGGGTGTTAGAAGTTGAATTTGTCCCACATCGTCCCAATAATGGGCTGTTATGGTGTATATAAGTAATTGGGCTCCCTCCTTCTTGGAGCTAGCTTTTGGGAGTGAGTTCTACCCAAGTCCACTTTATCACATTTCATTAAGGATGATTTTTTACGCTTTAATGCCATTTCTGACTTTAAAGTTATTGACATGAAAAGTCCATTTGACATTTTGTTTTTCCTTATGTTGTAAAATTGAGGATCTCCATTTGTTATTACTGTTATAATAATCTGTAAGCTTCTTGACAGCATGTATTAAGGAACTGAGAGTGCATTGGAATCTTAGTTGTTGTTAGTGATGTAACTATCAGCAAAGAGTTAGTAGAGCTCTTAGTATTGCTGTAAGTAAGTATAATTATGATTTGACTCTGATTTGTTCATTAGTAGTTGGTTTCTTTCAGTGGTCAGGCATTAATCTGGCTTGCTGTAGTGATGAGTGGTTTTCCCATTGTTTTAGAGAGTCAGAGACTGGTCATTTGAAAATAGTTTGGATACTGGATTTGGTGCTGGGTCAAATTTTTGGCTGAGGACACTCAAATAAATGTTCACTACAGCAGGTGGCAATTATAATATATTATTAGTGATATTGTTCGTTTCAGCCTTAGTTTTTTTGTGCTAAGCGTTAAAATTATTGCAAATCAACATTTCAATCCCTCAGTATCCCTGAACTGAATTTTTCTAGTTGATGTGCACTAATATTTAGAGTTATCCTGTAAAAATAACTTACTGTGTTGTTGGAATAACTTTTCAAAACCATGTTTTGTCTCTTAGCTGGTATTTGTTGTTTGGACCAGCAATGGGGCACTTTTGCATGGACTAAATGATGTTCAAACTACATACAATGCATATTCTATTCCTGTTGACTATGAATAGACATATGGATGTTGAAATTAGTAGGCTTTTGGACAACCTTGGACATCTGAACTGCTATTACTGTACATTGCCCTTTTGTCATTGACTGTGGAGTTAGTACCCTAAACATTTTGATAGTTTTCTTATACATTTTATTGGTTTATTTACTATCAAGCACATATGTTTTCTTTGGATGAGATAATGAAGCATTGGGCATCTCATGGCAACTGCCTTATTGGTATTGAAGACATCAATTTCTGCGTTATGTATTTATTTACCTTTCGTGGAGAATAGGCGCAAATCTAAACAAATGAGGTAAATTTTTTTATGAAATAGTTAATTACATAGGTTAGGAGATAAGTAGGTTTACTGTTAAATGTACTAATTTTGTTGTTCTTGTTACATTCACCATGTTGTGGCCTATTGATGTTTGTTCCAGGAGAACATTTAATTAATTGCTTGGCCATACATAAATCCATTTCTTCATGTCACCCTTCCTTAGAAATAGGATGAATTTGAAAGTTGTTACTTCATGCTGGACTTTTATCAGTGATGCTGATTTCAATTTTACTTCTTTTGTTTGTGACCAAAATGACTTTTTCTTGGAACTCTTTTGTATCCACAGGTTACTGAAGCACTTGCACGTGCTGGCCTGGAGTCTTCAAATCTCATTGTTGGTATTGATTTCACAAAGAGCAATGAGTGGACAGGTTTGACCTTGTTAAAATGCATTGAAATTCTTTTTTTACTTATTGTAAAACATGCTCAACTTGGTTTGATATTAGGTGCAAGGTCATTCCAGAGGAGAAGTCTACATCATATTGGAGATGATCAAAATCCCTACGAGCAGGCAATATCTATTATTGGAAAAACATTGTCTTCCTTTGATGAAGACAATTTAATTCCATGTTTTGGATTTGGAGATGGTATTCTTTTTGAAGTGGTTTGGCATTGGATTTTTGTAATATTTTTTCCTAGTTAATTGATTTAAACTGCTACTGTGAACTGGCAGCGTCAACACATGATCAAGAAGTATTCAGTTTCTATCCAGATGAGAAGTTTTGTAATGGATTTGAAGAAGTATTGAGACGATATCGAGAATTGGTCCCTGGCCTAAGACTTGCAGGTTGCAGTTTGATTCAATTATTTCTTATTGTATCCAACTTTTTTTCTTTTGCTGATATGTTGTTTCATTTTTCTTTTCACCTTATCTTTTCTTTACAGGACCAACATCATTTGCCCCTATTATTGAAATGGCTATCACTATTGTTGAGCAAAGTGGTGGCCAGTACCATGTTTTACTGATAATAGCTGATGGACAGGTACATTTGACTGTGTGAAATTCATGTCCAAAATTTTACATAAATACCCATTATCTATTAAATCTGTAACATAGTTTCTTTTCCATTTATTTTTTCCCAAAAATAAAAAATTGGGGTTTGGGGCTGGTTGTACCCTTAAAGTAACTGGCTGGCTGTGTAACTGGCTGCACAAATTTTTGTACCACAGCTATATGAGCCTTGGCATTGAACTATTGAGGTAGAATTAGTATATTGCCACAAAACCACCAATTGCTTTGGTGCAAGTAGTTACAAATATCAATATGTTAGCCAAAACTTAGTGGTGCTGAGTGAAACATGCGACTACATCACCATCCTGGCATGTCAACTATCAGTTTGTGCATCCTTGCCATACCATTGTATTGTGACTTTAATCTCTGCATGTATATTAATTCCACTATGGGTTTACAGGTGACAAGGAGTGTTGATACTGAGCGTAATCAACTAAGCCCACAGGAAAAAAAAACTGTTGAAGCTATTGTGAAAGCGAGGTGAATGTTTAGATTATATGTTTCCAACTTTTCTTTTCTAGACCAAATTTTCTGACATTTTTGCTAATTTGCAGTGAGTACCCGTTATCCATTATATTAGTTGGTGTTGGGGATGGGCCATGGGACATGATGAGGGAATTTGATGATAACATACCTGCTCGAGGGTTTGATAATTTTCAGGCAAGTATATCCAGATCGCAACTAGTTTTCCAGTTTCTTCAAGTTTGTACCTTGTATGGGCTCTTCTGTTTGCTTTGAAAAATTATTTTTCCTTCTGCAGTTTGTGAATTTTACAGAAATTATGGCAAAGAATGTTGACCGGTCCAGAAAAGAAGCTGAGTTTGCTCTTGGAGCCTTAATGGAGATACCGTCTCAGTATAAAGCAACACTAGAACTTAATTTGTTGGGGTAATAATCTTAGTGTTCTAAATTAAGCTCGTGGGAATTTCACTACCATGGCAATGGGCTGAATTTAATTGCTATTTGTTTTCTTTTCGTGCCAATCAGTGGTCGGAGAGGGAAGGGTATTGACAGGGTTTCCCTTCCCCCACCTCAATATGGTTCAGCTTCTTTCGGCACCCCAAAAACTCCTCGGTCAACTATTTTTCGTCCAAGTGCACCTTCGGGTAGACATGATACAACTTTTGGCACAGCTCCATCTGCAAGTTCTGCATCTGACAATCATGTATTTGAATTCTTCTCATATTTTCCCTCTAACCTCCTTTTGATCTTTTCATATAAAACCGATGAACTTTCAGTCTTGATACTAGGGCTTTTGAGTAGCATGATTGCGACATAATAGAATAATAGAAAGTGAACTGCAGATGCCATTGAAAGAAAACTTGATTATCATTAATTTTTCAAGCAATTAAATAGCCTTTGAACTTTCATGTGATTTGACAGGTTTGCCCTATTTGCATTAGCAATCCTAAGGATATGGCTTTTGGTTGCGGACATCAGGTAACATTTCTATGCATTTTTCTGCTTGTGTTTACTGGGAGTAGTTAGTGAAATATATTTACAAGACTTATGGATTTACAGACTTGCTGTGAGTGTGGACAAGATCTTCAATTATGCCCCATTTGCAGGAGCAACATCCAAACAAGAATAAAACTCTATTAAATAGCATTACAAAGAGTATAAGTTATTTACAAGTCCCTTTTTGGGCAAGGACTTAGATGTTGGATTGTCTGGCTTCCATATCAGATCTCCTATGATGGTATGTACATAGTTCTGGCTTTTGTTTTCTCATCGAGATTTTTTGGATGTATCATTTGTCAATTTAATGAGCAGTATAAAGTTATTATCAGCTAAATAATCGTTGGATGTACATCAAGTATGTTTAATTGAACTAAATCGCTTTGGTGGTGGGTTTTAACTGTTATATTGGATTACAAATCATACATGTTATAAGTTCCCTATCTTTTAATTTGTTCATTCATAACCTACTCCTCGTGTTAATCACATAGCAGACCTAGTTTGAATTTTTTTAGTCTCATTTTCCTTTCGGTTTTAGCCAAATTTAAGGATGCCACATAGATAGTAAAAGCAACTTTGTAATAGCTGCTTTATAAGAAATGAATTTCNTAAGTTATTTACAAGTCCCTTTTTGGGCAAGGACTTAGATGTTGGATTGTCTGGCTTCCATATCAGATCTCCTATGATGGTATGTACATAGTTCTGGCTTTTGTTTTCTCATCGAGATCTTTTGGATGTCTCATTTGTCAATTTAATGAGCAGTATAAAGTTATTATCAGCTAAATAATCGTTGGATGTACATCAGGTATGTTTAATTGGACTACATCGCTTTGGTGGTGGGTTTTAACTGTTATATTGGATTACAAATCATACATGTTATAAGTTCCCTATCTTTTAATTTGTTCATTCATAACCTACTCCTCGTGTTAATCACATAGCAGACCTAGTTTGAATTTTTTTAGTCTCATTTTCCTTTCGGTTTTAGCCAAATTTAAGGATGCCACATAGATTGTAAAAGCAACTTTGTAATAGCTGCTTTATAAGAAATGAATTTCAAGAGTCAAAACTTTCAGTCGAATTGAGTGTCCTTTCCTAAGAATGCCTATTATGCTCTTAACGAGGTGTGGATGTTTGTGCAGTGACTATATTGTAATGTATTATAGTAGGGCAAAATTACATTTATAACTTAATCCCACAAACTTTCTCTCACAATCCCGACGTGGTAGCTCGCAATTGGATTTTGATGAATTTTCTTATTTGATCAATTGCGAATCAATCAATTGCAAGTTGTTATGTTGAGATTATGAGAGAGAGTTTGTGAGATTAAGTTGTAAGTCAATCTTTATTAATTATAGTATTCATACCTTAATTTTATACTCAAAGCAAGACATAGTAACCAGTTTCTATATGAAATGATTCGAATTTTCAATTTTTTGGGGAATACAATAAAGTTTTCTTTTGCTTAATTTTTGGGGTTACGTTGGTAACATTATGCTCAAATATTATGGCATCAGAGCCAAGCAATTCACAACTTCCACTACGTTCGTCAAATTACAGCCTCATGCATAAACCCGTGAGAGGATGCACACAAAGCTTCACCTTTACTTTCTTTGCAAGACAGGCGTGTTACTTAATTGCGTTCGCACAAAGCTTCACTCTGCTTCTAGTTATAGTTTGCTCGCAAAAAGACTGGTTAATTTTTTTTATTTAATTTTATATGTTTATGAGTTACACCTGAATTTAACCTGACTAGTTGTAGTCATGCCTCTTGAATGCATGGATGGCTACCGAATCATCTTTAACCAAACCAAGCTAATATAAATTAAAGTTCACAAAAACAAATCCGTCTCTCACAACCATGGCGAAGAAGGAAAACTTGCTTTTAATTATCAAATTCATGATCACGACCCTCTTCTTGTTATTGAATTTTGTTGGTTTTGGTGTAGCTGCGGGGTCGTCGGAAGGGGGCAAAGGAAGATGGCAGCTCCTTCTAAACAACACTGGGGTGGTAGCTATGCATATGGCATTAACTCACCACAATGCTGTCATAATATTTGACCAAACGGGAGCAGGCCAGTCTGGGTACAGACTTCGCCGGCGATATAATGGAGCAAAGTGCAGAGGCAACCGTGATGACTTAGAAGACTGGTCTTGCTATGCTCATTCTGTTGAGTACAGCATTTCAGACAACAGCATTAGGCCTCTAAGACTTGATACCGATCCCTGGTGCTCTTCGGCTGCTTTTTTAAGCAATGGGACGCTCATACAAACTGGTGGATATGGCAGTGGTTCACGAAGGATTCGATACTTTAGGCCTTGTAAAAGAAGCCGTTGCGATTGGAAGCAATCCAAGCGGGCATTACATGATGAACGCTGGTATTCTTCAACTCAAATACTACCTGAGAATGATCGGGTAATGGTTGTAGGAGGAAGGGGGGTCTTCACTTATGAATTTGTTCCCAAACCGTCTTCTAGAGACACGTCCATTGATCTTCCATTCTTACACCACACTAATGACAGGCATTCCAGAGGAAATAACCTCTATCCCTTCCTCCACCTCGTTTCGGATGGCAATTTGTTTATTTTTGCCAATCGGGAATCAATACTTTTCAATTATAGAATGAACCAGGTGGTCAAAACTTTCCCTCGGATTCCCGGCGATGGTGCAAGAAACTATCCAAGCTCAGGCTCATCTGTAATTCTCCCTTTGGACTACACAAACAATTTCCAAAATGTGGAAGTCATGGTGTGTGGAGGTGCAGCCTCGGGAGCTTACAGAACCGCAGAACAAGGGAGATTCTTGAACGGACTTCGCTCTTGTGGGAGAATGGTGATCTCAGGCAACAGACACAAATGGAATATGGAAAACATGCCCGGTCCCCGTCTCATGAACGACATGTTGATTCTTCCAACTGGGCAGATCCTGATAATCAATGGTGCAAAACGTGGTTGTGCAGGATATGGCAAAGCAGCAAGCCCCTCTCTTCAACCATACCTCTACAAGCCAAAGCAAATACTAGGCAAAAGATTTTCAGTCCTTAGAGCCACTAAAATAGCTAGAATGTATCACTCATCCGCTACACTTTTACCTGATGGTAGGATCTTAGTCGCCGGCGGTAATCCTAACAATAGGTACACTTTCACAAATGTGACCTACCCAACTGAACTAAGGTTACAAGCATTCGTCCCCCCATATATGGACGAGCAATATGATACCCAGAGGCCTGCCAATGTGTCAATAAACTATAATAACAGCACTTATGGTGTAACATATGGAGAAAAGTTCAGTGTTCAGTTCTTGCTGGCAAGGAGACCTAGCAATGTGGTTGAGTTTACTGCATATGCACCACCATTCACTACACACGCGGTTTCAATGAATCAGAGGATGTTAAAACTGAGGTGCAGAAGTTTGGTTAGGGTGGAGGATGGTTGGATGAGGGCAAATTTGGAGGCACCTCCATCTTCTAATGTTGCACCTCCTGGTTATTACATGCTAACAGTTGTTAATGGAGGAATTCCTAGCATATCCCAATGGGTTAGGTTCAAACCTGCATGATCCCTTTTATAATAATGGATTTTCTTTTTTAATTTTGGGTAAAGAAATTAGGGTTCTGTTGCAAAACATTTTGTAAGAAGAATTACATTGATGGTATCTTAAGTGCTTGTAGTAAGGATGTCTCTCCATATACTTCCTAAGACAATGATCAGATTGTGCTTAACTTTAAATAAGTTGTACTGCTTGCTGATATATACCGTTAAAATTCACATTATGAATGCGTCATGTAAAAGAAACAAACAAAAAAAATTATTACTTAATCCATCCTTTTCACCGCCATGCCGAACACTAATTAGCTAAAAGGTAGACTGAACATTTATTTTGTGGGTCTAGTAGTACCGTACGTGTGTATGTTATCAGTATCACTCAATAATGGGTCACCTACCAATTGCTGCATTTATGCATGCATGATTCTTGAGAGTTCTATTATATTCACATTAATTCTATCTCAAGATAAAAGAAAGCCGAGTGAAGATTCATTCTCAGCTGCCTGCAATATTCTGTTTACGGATGAAAATTAAAACTCTTCAATTCAGAAATATTCTTTCAGCAGTTGTAAGATTAAATTTTGGTAAGATAGCAACAGTGCTGCCGACAAATTAATCTCTCTCTTGGTGGTTAGTCTTCGTCACATAACGAGATAAACATGGTAGTAGGTTCTTAAAACCTCTGATCTCCCTCTAATTAAGCACATAATTATAGGGTTGACGATGATGATATCCGTGACGTTATTTAATTAATTAACTTCAGGCTAATTATCATGAACAAACCACTCTCTATCTTAATTAAGGTTGGTGGATATTATTCAATTGTAGGATTTTATTCTAACTACCATTACCTACAAATTCCAATTTCCACCTGCATTGGTTGCCTTCAATACATTCCATCAACTACTTTTTCTGTACTGTCGTCACTTACATATAAGAAAGCAAAAAGAGATAATAAGGCCACCATCCGGTCCCGTGAAGGTAGAGAAAAAAAATCACCACTCATTTCTTTAAAGGCTGCCAGTTCTGCCTTTGAAATGGCTTCAATGCCAAAATTCTCTTATGAAAGACTGAGAAATGAAGCAGAATTTGGAAAAGAAGCTGAAGAGAGGGCTTTCAGAAAAAGTAGGAACGGGTCGAGGTTTAGGAAGTTCAATTTTAGGAAGCGACCAAGTCTTAGGATTCAGGTGTTGAGAACTTTCAGGAGAAAAAGACCAAAGTTGTTCTCTAGAGTTAAAGTTTCATGTAGTAAGATTTTGAAGAGGTTAAAGGATGGGAAGGTTCATATGAATGATCTTTTTAGTGGAAATTATCTGTTTATGCAGGCCAATCCTGCTCTAAAATGTCGAAATAGATCTTTCACGGGTCAGGGCCTTCATGGCTTGCCTTCTAGCTCTAGGTACTCACTTGGAAAAATTGCTTGAATATCATTATTATGTTAAATTTCAATTGATTGTTCAATGTATTATGCGGTGTACAGGTTTTAATGTTGCACGATATGGTAATACTAATAATTTGTATTGATTTGTATATCTCTTAGAAAAATATCAACAGAACCATTATCAATATATCTCTATGTACAATCTGATAATCACAACAGTTGAGCTTTTAGCTCAAAGCTAATTGGGAGGAATTGAGAAGATAAGTGTTTTGGGAGAAACAATTGTTTCTCAAATTTTGCTTATACAAAAATGGCTAGAGGTCACCTCCTCTACTGGGCTTAAATGAAATACTTTTACAACATCTTTCTAATTACGTCATGTTATTTGAACTAAATATACATTTTACATTGAGTTAAAAGAAAATATTAAGCTAATAATCTATATGAGTTTAATTGATAAATCCAAAATATTCTAAAGCCAAAATCAAGTTTAATATTCAACAGTAATTTCATCGCATTAACATGGCGAAAACAATTCATTACATACTCTTTCTTTACTATCTTGAATACTTTTAGCCTTTATGAAAAATTTGTAAACTTAATTCTTCCCACGGTTACTTTTATCTTAAAACCTTCGCCGACACCAAATTATGACATTATATATGCAGTCAACTTTGCGCCAACCAGCAGTAAAGAACATGAGGAAAGCTCATGTTTTATTATTGGGCTTATGGCTCAAATGTATCCTCATATCTAACCAATGATCTAAGTGCAACAAGATGGGTTAAGATTCTCATTGAACTGTATCGTTACCAGCATCACACTCACTTGTCGCCATGAATCTGCAAGGTTTTATTGAGAAGTAATCATCACTAAAATACATTCAACTGTTTGTATAGGTAATCAAAAAATGGAAAAATGTGAGAGCATCTCTTCTACCTTGATCAATGTAATGGGCAGAAGTAAGTCGATACTCATGGTTTAGACCGCCGTTTCTCTCTTTCATCGGCAATCAAAGCTTCTACCAAGCTCGCCGTCACATGGAGAGTCATGCATCTGATTCAAGTCATATATGTCTCGTTGTTTTCATGCTACTCAGCGACGCCTTCCTGAGTGTGGTACGACAGCTATCAACTTTGAGTTTCAGGCAGCGCAGTAATTGAATGGTCGCATTGTATTTCCTTTTTGGTAGTCAACTCAGTCATGTTCTCCCACAATATAACAAAAAGAGTTGTTGTTACTTGGGGCTTTGCTTAGGTACACCTCGGCTCACTTTGGCCCATTTGACAATGGGGAGAACGACGTGTTCCCACCCAAGGTTTGACAAAACAACCCTTTTCCACCCATCAAGTTTCAAAATGACACTTTCCCACCCTTCGTTAGGTTCTATTATGTTTTCCGTTAATATTTTACTAAAAATACGAAAATACCCTTAAATATTTTACTTTATAAATTTTTTATTATTTTTTAATTAACCAAAAAGTCAAATTTAAAAAATTCAAAAAAAAAAAAATAGTTAACCTTACCTAAAAAGTTAGGAGTAATGCTATAAAATTATTTAAAGTTAAATAATCTTAATATTTATTTATAATGTCATCAATATCACATCACTATTATTTATAATGTTTTTCATTTTTACTCATTAACATAAAAAATCAATATTCCTAATTAATTAAATAAATAAAGAAAAAAATGTATCTTTATACCCGGACTAATAAATAATCGAATAAAGACTTTAAATTAACTAATATTAATTTATAATAAACTAATTAAGAAATAAACTATTTAAGGATATTTTCGTTTTTTCAGTCAAATATTAATTAAAAACACTAACAGAACCTAACGAAGGGTAAGAAAATGTCATTTCATTTTGAAACTTGATAGGTGGGAAAGTGTCATTTTATCAAACCTTGCGTGGGAAAATGTCGCTCTCCCTTTGACAATGTTAATCTATAAGTTTCTCTTGGTACATAATTAAAGACAAGAGTATTTTTTGGTAAATTGCTGTATACTTCCGTTGTCGCCTTGCTGGTTTGGGACTTTGAATTTGTACATAAAGAGGATACCATCAATCCACCATTAATATTTTAATCGAAATATTTCTTATCGATGAATGTTATATAGTCTAATATATTTTGAACTTAAATGGAAATTATTACTCTCTACTTCGTATATGAATTTCATTTCACGATTCATTAAAATAACAGATAAATTTATATGTTTTCTTGATAAAAATAAGATAAGAAGTCATATATTTTATTTCAATAGGCTAGATTCATTTAAAATTTATTTATATTTGGAATGGATTTAAATCCTCTTCTTATTTAATTTTATCTAAGCTTTTGAAGATCTATTATCATGTGTCATTTGTGTTACTAAATTTTAACATTCAATTATTAATTTAGGGCTAATGAATTGACCGCTAAAGTTTCCAAAATATCAAATATTTCCCTATTTTGTCGTACTTATTAATAGTTAATAAATGTATATTTTATTATTGTTCTATCATTTATTTTAACATCTAAAATTAAAGATAGGAGATTAAATTTCAAAAGAATTACTATTATTAACCCTTTATATCACCAAAATTCACTCTTTAATTTCCAATTATTTTCCGATAAAAAAAATACAGTCATCCTTGCCTTTGAGACAGTGTTTTTATATGTCATGATTGAACATAAGTAATTGGTAAATAAAGTTGGAAGAAAAAGAGTTCAACAATTAAAAGGCAAAACCTTGTTTGTTTTTATTTAAGTTAACGTTCAAATTTCAATCAAGTCAACGTTGTATTTTTATTCGTTTACTTCGCACCCCAAGGAATTTCAATCTTCAGACGGAAAGATCTATTCGAAAGAAAAGTCAAAACAAAACCAGGATCTTAATCCACTCTAATCCGATTCATCGCCTCGTCAGTTGGACCAGCTTGGAACCATCGAGATCACCTCGTCAAATACAAGTCTCACTTATCTCTATTATTCAATTTTGTACCAACCCCTTTTTCTTATTATGATTTTATCTGCAACTCGTCGGTAACAAAAATATCTGGAAACTGCCGCTTACTTTCATTTGACCACAGAAAGCGCACGCTCATTGCAGATTTGCAGTTTATTATTTTTTCTAAACAAGTATTACAAGTTGAAATATAAATAGCATAGCTCCACATTCACATATTAGCTTCCATTGACAAATTTTCTTTCTATCATTTCTATACACGTAAATCTGTTGGTGCTTTCGCATTGGTCATTTTGATCCAAGAAACCAAATCATTTATAGTTAGAACTTAGAAGATGACAATCACAGCCACCCCTAGCATCAAAGATGGCTGCCTCATGCTTAGGGGCAAGGTGGTTTTGACTGGAGTTTCTCAGAATGTTGTTGTTTCTCCGGCAAACTCCGGCTCAGCTTTCATTGGCGCAACTTCTACAACTCCCAGTTCTCGCCATGTTTTCACTCTTGGTGTGCTTCAGTAAGTTTTTCTTATTTGTCAACTGTTATACAGAATCAAGTATGTTATTTGTCTTTTCTTTCTTAAAAATTAAATTTGGTTTTACATAATTACATGAATGTGGGTATTGCAGGGGATATAAGTTTTTGTGTCTGTTTAGATTCAAAATCTGGTGGATGATACCACGCGTTGGGAGATCCTGTAGTGAAATTCCCACGGAGACTCAAATGCTTCTCTTGGAAGCAAGAGAAGACTCTGCCCTGCACGATGAGGCTTCTTCTGATTCTGCTTCAGAAGACACCTTCTACATTCTTTTGTTGCCTGTGTTAGATGGACAATTCAGGACAACTTTGCAAGGGACTCCGGCGAATGAGCTCCAGTTCTGCATCGAGAGTGGTCAGTTGGCTCAGCTATGAATTACTTCTAGCGTTTTATAACAAACCATTTGTCATTTTGTTCATGTTTTTCTTATTCTGATTTGCTTTCGAATCTTCAGGAGATGCCAATGTTCAAACCTCTCAATCCTACGAGGCAGTTTTTATGAATTCAGGAAACAATCCATTTGAGCTCATCAAGGATTCCATCAAGTAATGTCTATTCAAAAATATTAGAAGTCACGACCTTCTTTCAATACGTAATCTCTTTTGAAATTAACAGAGATTTTTCTGCATTTCTAATTGCGTAGGATATTGGAGAAGCACAAGGGTACTTTCAGTCGCATTGAAAACAAGAAGGTAGAAAATCCAAATCCTTATAGTTTGGGCATTTGATTAATGGGAATTTCATTCCAATTACTGAATATTATGCTTTAATTACTAGATCCCTGCACATTTAGACTGGTTTGGATGGTGCACATGGGATGCTTTTTATACAGAAGTCAACCCCCAAGGAATCAAAGAGGGCCTTCAGAGGTATGATAAAAATTCATATCTATTTCACTTTTGTAATTTGAATTGAAGGTTTACCAATCTGTAACTTATCTAATGTCGCAAACAACCATTAACCTAGTTCTGTTTTACCTACAGTTTTCTGGAAGGTGGATGTTCACCAAAATTTCTTATCATTGACGATGGATGGCAAGAGACAATAAATGAATTCCACAAAGAAGGTGAACCACTAATAGAGGGGACACAGTAAGTTTCCTTTTCATAATTTAATAGTTCCTTGCAGCATGTAGAAGCAATGTGCCTCAATTTGTTAATTATGACTTCCTTTCTCTGTTGACCTGTAGGTTTGCCACCAGATTGGTAGACATCAAAGAAAACAACAAGTTCAAGAGTTCAAACTCTAATAGCACATGCATAGATCTCCATGGGTTTATTGATGACATCAAGGAGAAATATGGACTAAAGTAAGATTTACAAATTGAATCTGGAATTTAGATTTTGTTATTCCTTTACAGTATATAACGCTTGAGAATTATCAAATAATGCAGATATGTTTACATGTGGCATGCTTTGGCTGGTTACTGGGGAGGTGTTCACCCATCATCTGAGATAATGGGAAAATACAACCCAAAGCTTGCTTATCCAATTCAGTCACCCGGTAATATCGGGAATCTCAGGGACATTGCCATGGACAGTTTGGAGAGATATGGAGTTGGAATTATTGATCCCCAGAAGATCTTTGATTTTTACAATGATCTCCATGGCTACCTTGCTAGCAGTGGGGTAGATGGGGTGAAGGTTGATGTTCAGAATTTGATAGAAACCTTAGGTTCTGGATATGGCGGACGGGTGTCATTGACTAGACGGTATCAACGAGCACTTGAACAATCCGAAGCCCGGAACTTCACAGACAACAACCTGATTTGCTGCATGAGTCACAACTCTGACTCAATTTACAGGTTTGTACCTGCTTCTGGAAACATTTATCTAAACTTACAAGTTTGAATACACGTTCTAATTTGAGTGATGGTTATTGCCAGTTCAAAGATGAGTGCAGTTGCAAGAGCATCGGAGGATTTTATGCCAAGAGAGCTAAATCTCCAGACCTTACATATTGCTTCTGTGGCTTTTAACAGTCTTTTACTGGGGGAAATTGTGGTGCCAGATTGGGACATGTTTCACGTAAGATATTGCTTTATACATTCACTTTTTTGTTTAGAAAACTTTCCTGAACCCGACAAACAGAGTGGGGAAAATTGTTAAAATTCATAACAAGATACAAAGAAAATGATCGCTATTAGTTAGCCCAAACTAAGAATTCTTGCTGTAACAAACGCTTTGAAAAATGATATATGATTAAGCCTAAACCAAGTTAATTTGAGCAAAAGAGGAGAAATAGTTAATAAGCTTTGAAACATAGCTTTGTTTTATAGATTTAGAATTCAAGACTCCATCTTCAAGTGCTTTTTCTCATTACTGCAGAAACATAGATCCACAAGTTGCAAATATGTTAAATTATTTCTTTCTTCATTGCAGAGCAAACATGAATCAGCAGAGTTCCATGCTGCAGCAAGAGCATTGGGTGGGTGTGCAATATATGTAAGGTAAATCAAAGAAGCCGATGATCTAATGTCCTCTACATTACAGAAAATTATAATGATTTTTTTCATTATGATCTGAAAGAGATATAATGCATTAATTTTTTTTGGATTCATGTTCTTGCAGTGACCAGCCAGGCATTCATGACTTTAAAATCCTTAAAAAGCTTGTGCTTCCTGATGGGTCTATCCTAAGAGCTAGACATGCCGGCCGTCCTACTCGAGATTCTTTATTTAAAGATCCTGTCATGGATGGAGAAAGGTATATTATAAAATTCTCTAGTTCATGATTGATTATAGAATTCAACAAGTATTTGGCCATAATCGCAACGTGCTTGCCTCTTTTGAAGTCTGCTGAAGATATGGAATTTGAATAAATTATCTGGAGTCGTAGGTGTGTTTAACTGCCAAGGAGCTGGAAGTTGGCCATTGAAACATGCAGCTGAAGATGTGCCTACCACACCATCTCCACCTTCATCCATTTCTGGCCATGTTAGTCCCCTTGATGTTGAATTTCTCAAAGAGGTTGCAGGCGAAAATTGGAATGGAGAATGTGCAGTATATGCTACCAATTCAGGTTAACATTTGATTCTCATCTTAGTTTGACCTGAACAATTGAACAAATTAATTTTTTTCGTATTAATGAGATATTTTTTCGTATTGTAGGAATTCTTTCTAAGTTATCAAAGAAAGGAAATCTCAAAGTATCCTTGGCCACTCTTCAATGTGAAATATATACCATCTCTCCTATTCGGGTCAGTAATCAACCACACTTTTTATCTTGTGAATTCAGTTTTTTTATAAGGTCTAATAGCAATAACCTATATATTGTGTGAAACAGGTTTTTGGTCAGAATCTTCTGTTTGCTCCAATAGGGCTGCTTGACATGTACAACACAGGAGGAGCTGTGGAAGCAATGAATTACATCAGGGATCATTCTGAATGCAGAATAAAAATAAAAGGCAAAGGCTGTGGCCGATTTGGAGCCTTCTCAAGCACTAAACCGAAGTGTTGTATCGTGGACATGAAGGAAGAAGAATTCACCTACAATGCTCAAGATGGACTATTGACTGTCAAACTTGATGGTGATTGTAATTTAAGAGAGATTGAATTTGTATACTGAGTGTCATATGCATGTTCAAGGTAATTTGAGAAACGAAGAATTGCTGCATCTCCCAAGGACTGATTTAAATGTTGCATTAGTGGTTATAAAGCAGAAGGTACATTTCATATTTGCGCCGATAAATTGAAAACCCAGATAAAATCTGTTATGCATAAAAAGTCATGCTTATGTCAGCTCAATAAATGTCTTTTTGTACTAGCTGTCAAACTCATACCTCCTCAAAGATATTCATACTAACCTTATCTCATTTCAAAAGATGAATGGACGAGAGTCTTTCATGTGTCAAGACAACTTGCGAAACACTCATTATATTGACCTCAAAGGTGTATAAATTGACATTTCTCTTCCCGAAAAAGGAGGCTGGACATATGAGAGCTAGGCATAGATTTGAGCTCAAGTCTTTCTCTCTGTAAACATTGTATTTTTTCATCTTTGTATGTCTTATGGGCAAAATCATAGAGATAGTTAGAGATCAATAAAATAACAGTGGATGTATGATTTGCTTTAAGCATCCGAATCACTATAAAAACCTCTCTTGTTAGTCTATTATTCATGTTTTCTACAACATATATAATCTCAGCTCCATATTCAAATCTCATGGATTCATCACGTATAATTTCTAAGGCTCTCTTAGCACTTTGCACGTATAAGTCGTTGATGTCCAAAATCAAGCGTCAACAATTTGGTGGCCTATGCAGGTCTCAAACCTTCGTCAAAGTTCTCTGATCGCATGCCCAGATCGTTGATCGTACGCTCAGATCGCACACTCAAATCACGCATTTAAGATAGTTGAGATCACGCATTTAGATCACGTGGCCAGATCGCTGATCTTTAGCTTCAAATCGCGCGTTCAAATAGCCTAGATCGCATGGCCATATCGCTGATCGCAAGCTCAAGTTGTCCTGATCTTCGGCTTCAGATCGTTGATCTTTAGCTTCAAATCGCGTGTTCAGATCGTTGATTGCACGCTGAGATCCTTGATCTCTTGATCTGAGATCGAGCTCCTTATGATCTGAGGTCGAGCTCGTTATGCTCTCTGATAGAGCTCGTTATGCTTTTTGATCGAGCTCCTTATTATCTCAGATCGAGCTCCTATTAGATCGCGATTAGCTCCTAGCTCTCAAATTGCGATCAGCTTTTAGCTTTGATATTGCGAACAGCCTCAGCTTTAGATCGCTCCAAACTCTCAGATCGCAGTCCTAGCTCTCAACACTCGATCGCGCCAGGAATAATTCGAGCTCTTCGGTTCGAGACTGTAGCCTATAGTGCAACAGACATTCAGATCAAAGACCTTAGTTTCTGAAGCGCGATTACACACTCCAAAAACTGGGGGGCTTCTATTATGCCTAAAAAGTCACGCTTATGTCAGCTCAATAAATGTCTTTTTGTACTAGCTGTCAAGCCCATACCTCCTCAAAGATCTTCATACCAACCCTATCTTATTTCAAAAGATGAATGGATGAGAGTCTTCCACGTGTCAAGGCAACTTGCAAAACACTCATTACATTGACCTCAAAGGTGTATAAATTGACACTTCTCTTCCCGAAAAAGGGGGCCGGGCATATGAGAGCTAGGCATAGATTTGAGCTCAATTCTTTCTCTTTGTAAACATTGTATTTCTTCATGTTTGTATGTCTTATGGGCAAAATCATAGAGATAGTCAGAGATCAATAAAATAACAGTGGATGTAGGATTTGCTTTAAGCATCCGAACCACTATAAAAACCTCTCTTGTCAGTTTATTCATGTTTTTTGCAACATATATAATCTCAGCTACATATTCAAATTTCATGGATTCATCACATGTAATTTCTAAGGCTCTCTTAGCACTTTGCACGTGCAAGTCGTTGGCATCCAAAATCAAGCATCAACAAAATCATTTTTCCTAAAGTGACTGAAGCCAAATACAACGGTTGTTTTTGCAGCGGTGGGGAGGGTACTGGAGTTTCAATTTAATATAATCTAATTTAGTACGTTAATAGTTGAAGGAAAATCTAAGTGTGATGTGTTATGGACACTTGCTGAATTGGGAGAATTAGTGGCCAGTTTCAATCTCCATTGTTGCCGCTTAGAAGGTCGAGTACTTTCCAAACGATGGGGAAGATACTTGTTAATCTCTTTCACAAATTCTTTTACTAGCTGCCACATGCGGTTTCATGGCCATACGCGATGGTTTTCTTAAGAGCAGGACAGGACACGTTTTATGCTAACTTGTTTCTATCCACACGTATTGGCCATGTAATCACTCTGCTAGAGGGTTGACAAGGCTGAGAATGAATTAGACTGATGAAGCAAGACAAATTTATGCAATAAGGAAGCAAATCAAGAGAAACAGAGGAAAAAAAACAGAAGAAAAAACAGACGAGAGCTGAAGCTGTATTTCCTTCACATATACGTCAATACAATATACATGACTAACAAAATATATAAACATCTGACGCACCATCCCTTAATTAAAGGACAACATACATAAAGTAGCAATAGTTCCTTAAAATAAGGATCACCAAACATTTTAACCAAAAAACTTCAACTAATACAACTACTCCACTGACTTGAAAGAAAGTAAGAGATATAAACAACCTCAATCTTCTAACACTCCTCCTTGAGGTGTTTGTTATTTAATACCCCAAGTTTCATTCTCAGATTTTCGAACTTAGGCTTAGGAAGAGCTTTGGTCAAAATGTCTGCCACTTGATCTTCTGAACTGCAGTACATCAAGTTGATTTCACATGTGTTTTCAGCCTCACGAATAGCATGAAACTTGACACTAATATGCTTAGTCCTACCATGATGAACTGGATTTTTGGTAATTGCTATGGCTGCCTTGTTATCCACAAAGAGTGTAACACTTCCTTGTTCATCTTGTCCCAAATCTGAAAGAATTTTTCGCAGCCAAATAGCCTGATTAGCAGCACTTGCAGCAACTACATACTCAGCTTCTACAGATGATTGAGCTACTATTTCTTGTTTTTTTGAGTTCCAACAGAATAGCACTTCCAAATGAAAAACAGTAACCCAAAGTGCTTTTAAAGTCATCTAAGCTCCCTACCCAGTCACTGTCTGAGTAGTCTATAAGTTGACTACTACCATCTTTAGAGAACCACAAACCAAAATCAATAGTTCCCCTTATGTACCGTAACACCCTTTTGGCAGCACACCTGTGAGATTTTCCTGGTGAATGCATAAACCTGGACAGTAGAGATGTAGCAAACATTATATCTGGCCTGGTAGAGGATAAATAAAGCATGCTGCCTATGAGACTTCTATATAATGTAGCATTTGCTTTCTCTTCTAAGTCATCAATGTTCTTCAATTTTTCATTCACTGCTGAAGGTGTTGCAACAACCTTGCAACCTTCCATTTGAAATCTTTTCAACAGATCTTAAGCATATTTTTTCTGAGAGATGAATATGCCTGAGTGATCTTGATTTATTTCCATACCCAGAAAGTACTTCATTTCACCCAAGTCTGACATCTCAAATTCTTTTTCCATATTCTCCTTGAAATCAGATACTGATTTCATATCTCCTCCTATCACAAAGATGTCATCAACATACAAGGAGACAATAAGAGATGGATCACCATTTACCTTCTTAACATAAAGAGTGGATTCATTTGGACTGCAGCATAAATCTTGGTTCAACAAGTAAGTACGTATCTTGCTGTACCAGGTTTTTGGTGCCTATTTCAGGCCATAAAGAGCCTTATGCAGCTTATAAACCTGCTCTTCTTTCCCAGGCACCTTGAAACCTTCAGGTTGCTCTACATATATATCTTCATCAAGTATACCATTCAAAAAAGCAGCTTTAACATCAAGATTGTATATTTTCCAGCCAAGTTTAGCAGATAAAGCCACAAGCAATCTGATTGTATCATACCTAGCTCCTGGGGCAAAAGTGTCAGTGAAATCAATGCCATATTGTTGTAGATATCCTTTGACAACTAATCTAGCTTTGAGCTTGTTTATAGTGCCATCAGGATTGAATTTTGTTCTATAGATCCACTTGACACCAATCACCTTGTGATTTTCTGGTTTTTGAACTAGGCTCCACGTAGAGTTCTTATTAATCATTTCCATTTCATTCTTCATTGCTGTTTTCCACCCTTCATTGCAGACAACTTCATCAAATGAAATTGGCTCTAAAGAGGCCACATTACACCTGCCATAAATATCTTCAAGAGATCACATTTTTGTTGCAAGAGTACTTTCTTCATCACCGGAATATGAATAATTTTCTGACAAGATATTGGTTCCAGGATTTGAACTTGAACCTACTTTCACTTCATTATCATCTGCCCAGCTCCAAATTGCTTGTTCATCAAATATGACATTCCTACTAACCATAAATTTATTGGTTGAGGGATTGTACACTCTATAGCCCTTAGATACTTGGCTGTAACCAACAAACACCCCTTTCTCTGATTTTGCTTCTAACTTGCTTCTTCTTTCACTTGGAACAAGAGCATAACAAACTCATCCAAATATTCTTAGATGATCAACAGAAGGTTTACAACCATGCCAGATTTCATAAGGAGTGGCATTATTCAAGGCTTTAGTGGACAACAAATTTAACAAATACACTGAAGTATTTGCTGCCTCAGCCCAAAAATGTTTAGGTAGTTTTTTTTCAAACATCAAACACCTAGACATTTCCATCACTGACCTATTTTTCCTTTCACTCACTCCATTTTACTGTGGAGTGTAAGGAGTGGTCAGTTGATGTATTATACCTTCTATTTTGCAGAAAGAGGAGAATTCTTTTGAAGTATATTCTGAGCCATTATCTGATCTGAACAACTTTAGTTTGCACCCTGACTGCTTTTCCACTTCTGCCTTGAATCTCTTGAACACATCAAAAACTTCTGACTTTTGCTTCAAGAAGTAAATCCAGCAATGTCTTGAGAAGCCATCAATAAAGATTAAAAAGTATTTGCTCCCATTTAGAGAAGCAACACTCATTGGTCCACATAAATCTGAGTGAACAAGCTGCAGTTTCTCAGTGGCTTTCCATTTGCTGCTTGAAAAGGTAACTTGGATTGTTTGCCGAACTGACATACTTCACAGACGCCATGATGATCATCAACAGTTGGTAAATCTAGCACTAGCTCCTTATCATGCATAATTTTTAAAGTTGCATAGTTGAAGTGTCCAAGCCTTCTATGCCATAAATTTGAATCAATTTCAGTATGCTGATAAGCCTTAGTGCTAGCTACATTCCCGTCTATAGCAAAAT